CTACGACTACCACTACAACTGCTGCTACTGCTACTACTGTTTGTGCTGGTGCTGCTGCTTGCTGCCACTACGAAACTCCAACTCTGACTCCTACTGCTCTTCTTCCCCCTGCGGTCCTGCTGGTCCACCTCCGCTGTCGTCATCTTTTTGCCTTACTTTGCCAGCTGTCATTTGCGTTGCAATCGTTGTATACTCAGAACCATTTCTGCCTTTGATGGTGGCTACAGCTTTATCCGTGTCAAGGCTTCATACCAGTTGCAAAGTTGCTGTCACCGGTGAAGGCAAAAGAGCCGCATGCAAAGCACCATGCGAACGGGGCTGCTGCGCCGCGTTCGGCGAGCAAAGCCGATAGAAGAAGAAGCAGGGGCCCAAGCGCGGATTGATCTCATTCTCTTTGACGAACAACTTGAATTTATCGAATGAGCAGGATCGTCCCTCAGCCTGAGCGTAGCGGATCGCAAGCCCAAAGCAGCTGCTTGGCAGCAAGATAGGCGAAGGGCTGCCGTAGAGGTTAAGCTGTAGCATCAGCTCCCCGCAACAAGTAACGGGAGCTCAGGGGAGGTACTGTCAGCGCGCCATGCCCCTCCGGCTTGTGACTTGCAGTGAGAGCACAACTCCGACGTTGTTCTTGTTTCGCAGGTATTTGCACTTGGTCATCTACTCTGTTGTGCTTTGGATACATGTTCAAGCCGGCAACTCTGGAACTAAGAAACTGCACATATCTCAATGGATGATGCGTCGCTGATCACGCTTGGCAGGCATGGACCATGGACGGCGAGCCTGACCACGTGGAACAGACAGCGAAGGCAAGTCGTTAACCTCCACCCAGCATTGCCAAGAGCGATTCTCATCATGTCAACCGCATGTTCCAATATCAGCACTGCCCAACGGCCGTCTAATCTTCACGAAATTCCCTGGACCCGTGGAATACCGGTGCAGCCCTTGACCGGCAAAGATCCCAAATCCAAAACCCTAAATCGAGAGCCTAGAGGCCTAGAGCCCAGAAAAAACTGGGTTCCGGCTTTTGATGTGTATAGCAACTTGTCTGAGTCTGGAGGATAGATCCAACCTGAACAGCATCGCCATCATGGAAGCCGATTTCCTCAGCGAGCGCCTCAAAACAGAGAGCCTGCTTCAGAATTGCTAGTATATTATAGTATAATACCTTATAGTATATCATATAGTATGGTATATGTGGGCTCCATTTTCCAAGGCTGAAGTAGGTTTAGAGCTGGAATTGAAGACTCAGGGATTTGTCGTGCTTCTGTTAAAAAAACCAGAAGCCTTAACAGTCAGACGTTCAGCTCTGGAGGGAGCAGATTTTTCTGCTGATGGTCCTGGACAAGTCTTGTACCTTTCGACATTGTTTATAGACACCACGCAATCCTAAGAAGCCTCGTCTAGGCCCTAGCGTCCCTACCCTCGACTCCCGTTGAACCCCTCACAGCTCCTACAATCACCATGTACACTGGCAACAAAAGTTTTCAAACCCTGCAGAACACGCCCAATCACGTCCCGCCCCACTAAGACTACATATTCGCCCTAACACAAGATGGGAAAGTAGTATTATTGGGGTGGTGTGGGGGTTCATTATGAGGGGGTGGATTATTTTGCCATTTTATTGTAGGATATTATATGAAAATTGTAGTATAGTATAGTATATTTCATTTTGCTGTTTGTAAGCTCAGAGGTCTGAGGAGCGACATGATCCTTGGCTGCACCATGAGTTTCGAGGGTTTGGGTTGACTAGTAGTAGTGGCCATAAGGGAAATGGTGATTATATTAAGGTCTTCTTATGCTCTTATTACACCACAATTACAGGGTGGGGCGTGCACTAACTCCTGGTAGTCTGGACCCTAAACCCTAAACCACAGAAGACAGCATATCCTCCAAACAGGCGGGGTATGAATTTTGAGATGAGGTTTGGGGCCAGAAAGTCGTGTTACGTGCATGCTTGTAGCCTCGGGCTTGTAGGATGTGCTGACGCTGTTTAGTGGTGGATTTCGGGTAGGTGTGCGTTCAAGGGTGTCAGGTGCCTCAGACGCCCTAACCGATGTGATGTTTTTGCCCCAAGCACGTGCAAAGTCAACTCGGCTAGCCCAAGAAGCTACACCCAAATCCAGTATTTCTACTATTACTAGTATTCCTGTTACTGTAACCCGAAACCCTACCTACACCCATAACCCTACTGCTAACAATCGCCATGCCATGGCGCAAACATTTGGGCACGGCCTCTGTCTCTTAAAGTCCGAAAAACTCTTGGTCTTTTTCCAAGATGCACTAGCTCCCAGGGCCTAAGTCCTAAACTCTACAGATCCTGTGCCAAAGGGTTGCTAAAATTGTGGTCCCTTTTGGGGTTGCCATCAGATTATGGCCGCGCTATGTTCAGGTTACCCAAGAATTCGCCGGACTTTTACAATCTTCCATATGAGCCATCGTCTAAACTCCTAGGATCCCTGCTACCCTAACCCTATATGATCCCCTAAAGAACACTCCTTCAAGGAGTTTAGACTATAGCTCATATCCAGCGCGCGAAAGCAAGGGCCAAGATCAAGAGGCAAATGGACCTCCTGATGAAGGAGGCTGCTGCGGGGAATGTTAGGGGTGCACTACCCCAATAATGGAGAATCAAATGGAGAATAAAATGGAAGATGAAACGGAAGGCATGAGGAGGTTACCTTCAGCCGAGTCTTTGACCTTCGGGTATCCGAGTTACGTTAAAGGGCTTAGAAAAGCCTAAACCTCTACGGGGCTAAACCCCTGAGATCCAGAGGCTTCAAGGCTTGCTTGAGGCTACCTTGTGTTGCTTGATGCTGGTGTGGGTGATCGAGAGTTTAGGGTTCACGGTTTAGGTTTCAAAAATGGGGTGACGGAGGCATCAAGGCTCAGCCGGTATCCGGCATTTCGGAGGGTGAAGGAGTGCTTCACAGGGATTATGGGCCGTTGCCGAAGATCTGGAGTGGTGTTCGAGCTGTGCAGTCGTGGTTCATCGCAAGCAGAATCCACACTATTCTGGGATATTTCTCGGTGTACTTTGAAACTAGTATGGGCCATATTCCCTAGGTCTTCCCTCTAAAGCCGCAGGAACTCAATTGTTTACAGGGCCCCAAAATCTATCCCAGTATTACTTTGTAGCCTTTTGAACTCTTCTGCCAGTAGAGTTGTATCAGGTTTCAACGATTTTCCATTATTGCTCTTGCTAGGGTGGAGGCCCCTTATCTTTGAGAATTGTTGTTTGATTCTTTTTCTTTCCCATTTTAGCCCCCTGAACGCAAAACCCTCATCCCTAAACCCTGAACCCTCGTCCCTAAACCCTAGGGATCCATTGTCAGCCAGGTCCGATTGAAGTGAGCTCTCCCTCGTAGCCTCGGCGAAGCGAGGTCGCCAACCGAACGCAGAAGCGCTGACTGGGTAGTACAGGGTGTAGGGTTTAGGCATCAGGGTTTGGGTGTAGGAATTAGGGTTTAGGATTTTGGGATAGGTTTTAACAAGGATTTCTGTAAGAGCTGATATGGGAGCATGTACTCCACATGCTGGGAGTATGTAGAAGCAATGTTGGGATTACATAGTTAGGGCTGAAGAGCTTGCCCTCCTTCGATTGATTCTACCGTTCTACCATCCCCAAACTGCTCAAGCATTTGTGTGATAGCGCTGGTACATTCCAGTTCTTTCTGGTCTGGTGATCCTGCAAAGCAGGTCACTAACTCCTAGATGCTGAAGTGCACACATGCCTCAATTGGGTGTGCCTCCGTTGCACTAAGAGATTATAAGGGGCCAGAAGAAAGAGATGTGAAAAGGCGACCCCCAATTTTGGTGTGCAAAAGGGTGTGTGCCAGTATGGCAGGACACTCCACCACACTGCAGTACACTGCCGTGAGCAGTGATCGTTAATTCCCAGCAGGCGGAAGGTACTGGCTGAGTGCAGATCCAGCGAAGCGATCCTCAATAGGCCTAGTGGGATTTCATCCACTCTTGCCATAGCCATAGCCCCATGTTCATCGCACTTGTTTTCAGCATCTTGATGAACATGTAAATCTACGCGTAACTGGAAAGTGGCATTCGTAGCATACTGGCTTGCAGCTGCAGGATCCAGTACAAGCTGCCTTGCGCGTAAATGCACGAGGCTTGCAACTCACTCAGGCCTGATCTCGCATTGATACAAAAGGACCAGCATGTTACCAAGACAGCTCCGAGCAGCTAGACGCTAGGTCTGCAATGATGCTGCTGCCAGCTAGATGCCGCCATAACCGTTGGTCCAACTTTTCGGAACCATGTCGATGGGATCTGATCCCTCTCGCTCTGAGGCTCAACGGCCACAAGGCTTCCATGCTGGAGCTAGAGGCGCTGCATTTGCAAAGCCGTTGGGGACAGGAGGAAGAGGGGCCTTCATCTCAGGAGAAGGAGGGCAGTAGCGTCAATGTGGGTGAAAAAGGCTACTGCCAAGGGCTAAGCTGCATTTGCAGCTTCACTGCCACACATCTCCTGAGAATCGTTCCTGAGTCCACTTTAGGATTCTGTGATTCAAACATTGCTTGCATCTTAGGCCAGTGACATACTTTTTGGTTTGAGTGGCACTATCAGCCCAGACAGGAATGTGTCGAGCGCTTGCATGGCGGAACCCTCGGCAAGCTGGCAGATTTCCCATGCAGCACTGCATGAGCCTGGTGCAGCCTGTGGCCTGCGATGCTTTTCCATCTTGGCCCTTAGAGGCATACTTCTTCTGAGTCTATAAGGCATGATGTGTGCTACGGCTCTATCATACTACCTGTGCTGCTTTGCAACTGCCACATGTTTGTTCCTGGCCTTGCCGGTTCACTGTTCTAGCAAGGTCGGCGCGTGGACATCGATGCGTTGCTACAGGTTGAGCGACACCGAAACCAGGAGTGGATTCGCCTGCAATCATCGAAGTTATCACAAGTACACTTGCAGGGGCATATTCTAAATCCCGTGCTCCCAGCCCTACGCCATTCACCCCTATGCCCTCCCACCCCATTGAACTCAAACCTTAAGTCTGAACACCTGTCCGAAAAGACCAAACCCCTGAAACCCAGCAGGAGCTCGAGAGCGAACTCAGCTGGAACCTCGATTCGGATAATGGAGAAGAACATGTAAACTACAGGTCATTATAGGGGTATAATATAAAGGTATATAGGGATTGTACTTATACGATTTACATTGGGGTTATATTGGGGTAGTGCAAAATACAAGGAAGAGTACTCTATTTATTGCTTGCTGCTGGAGCTGCCTGGAGACCCGCCCCAAGCCCTTCAGGCTTCGCGTAGGATATGGTTTAGGGTTAATACAGTAGGGTGAATTTGGGATAGGATCTTGAATCTCAAGAAGATATTCTAGAGATGTATGGGGCAGCTGTGCACTTCCCCCCAGCTCATGATGATGATCCCGGAATAGCAGAATGTATCTCAGTTGTACTACAATCCGAACCCTGTGTAGGGAGTATGACGATCGGTGTTAGGAATCATGCAAGAACTTTTGTGAAACGTCCATAAAGTCGGTGTAGAATTCCCGACCCCCATGCCAAGCCCAATTGTTTTGGACCGTCCAGGCTTCTGCAAAGAGCAAGTGAAAGAACTGCAGCGGACTCTCAAGGACTGCAGTAGCACACTGCCCTCCGACCTCCAGAGTTAGCCACAAAGAGTGCCTCCAGTGCTACTTGATTCACTCAACGGGACGTCTCGGGGTGTGCTCTGAGGGTGGTAGTCCCATCATCCCAAGATGTGTGCTGGAGGAGTCTTATGTGCAGCAGTTTGAAGCCTCACAAAAGCGAGAGGAGTCTTTCCGGCACGTTGGGGCAGCAAAGTTAGGGTGGAAGATCTGGGCTTCTCAACATTATCTGCCTTCTCTGGGTGCTGTGAAAGAGGGCAGAGAGGCAGAATGACGCAATGATCTTGCTCGTGAAGCTGCCTTCTCGGACACCATTCTGCCTCTATGATAGGTTATGACTAGGTTATAGGGCCTATATTATATGTAGTCCCCAACGTAGATAACACTACCGGGTATGCCTCGCCTGCAAGTATTTCAGGTCGCCAAGATATTACCCGAAACCCGAAATAGCCAGCCCCATGCCCTGACCTTAAGTGCAATCACATAATCACATGCAATGCCAGGCTCGAAAGCCACTTTAGCAAGCTAGTCGAGGCACCCACTCGACGCAACCGGGGGTATTCAGGATGCATCAAATTGTGATTGTTGGGGTGGGGGTGCCCCAAGGAGACATGCATTGCTTGTTGGTTGTGCATCATTCTACAATACCCAAGGCAATCCTGTAGTCGGAGTCGGGATGGCGTATGTCCATCGAAGTAAGGACTTCTGAAGGGACTGTTTGAGGCTTGAAGGCGATCAGTTTGTCTTAGCTGCGTACACAGTTTCCGGGGGGGGGGGGGGGGG